CGGGGCACGATGCTGAGGGGCGAGATGGCGGAGGGGGCGTCGGGCATCAAGCCGTACACCGACCCCCTCCTGAGAGTCAAGAAGAACATGGTCAGGCTGGTCGCTCGCATGGCTGCGGGCGGCATGATGGACACGTCGGATGTTTGCAAGGGGGAGGTGGCGCTCTTCACGGTCGTCAAGAAGTGGGTCTTGGCGGAGGGCGCCCAGCCCAAGCGCAGCTCCCGACTGGTGTTCGACGAGCGCCTCGAGAACCTGAAGTGGCGGCGGCCGCCCTGGTGCTCCCTCGGAGCCGGAACGGCACTCGGCTTCGTCGACGCGAGCAAGGAGATCGCCGAGGGCTACCAGGTGCTGGCCGCGGTCGGCGACATCCCCGACTACTACTACAGGCTGCTGCTTCCGCTGGAGGTCGCGGAGCACTTCGTGGTGCCGGGCGTATCCCCGGCGGAGGTGGCGGAGGAGATGAGGGCGCGGGGGTTGCAGGTCCCATTCGACGAGACCAAGGCCTACATGGTCGTGCGGGCCCTGGTCATGGGCTTCTGCTGGGCGGTCTACTTGGCGCAGATCTGCCTGGAGGATTGCCTGCAGGGGGCCGGAGGATGGCTGCACGAGCGAAATCGGCTGGCGTACGGCCTGCCCGTCCCGAGGATCCGCCCGAGCGAGCCCGTCCACTGGCAGTACATCGACGACTACGGCCTACTGGCGCTCGACGCTCCGGAGGCGACGGCGGAGGCCTTCGGTGCCGACGGGCTCGTCGGCCTCGCCAAGGCCAGGGGCGACGTGACGTCGCAGCTGAAGGAGCGGGGCTTGCCTGTTCACAAGGAGGAGTTCGGGAAGCAGGTCAAGACGCTGGGCTGGCTTCTGTCCGGCACCGAGGACGGGGACATGTTCGTGGAGCCCGACCCCGAGAAGATGGACATGCTGGTAGAAGCCACGGTGGAGGCCTGCCGCCGAAGGACGATCAAGGTGCGGGACCTGATGACCTTGGTCTCGACCTGGACGTGGTTCGCGCTCGTCCAGCGGCCCACCCTCTCCATCTTCGACGCGGTCTACAAGGCCATACAGAAGTTCAAGGACGGCGAGGACGTGACGATGTGGCCCGGGCTGAAAGGCGAACTGATGACCATGGTCGCTATCAGGCCCCTGCTTTTCGCCCGACTGGGGCGGCCCTGGCTGGAGCAGGCGGGCATGACGGACGCGAGCTTCTTCGGGGCGGGCGTCCTGGTCACCCCCTCCGGGATCGACGAGCTGAGGAGGGAGGCCCGACTCGCAGCGCCGAAGGGCTGGTTCGCCGAGCAGGCGGATCTCCTAGGCGAAGACAGCAGCGACGACGAGGAGGACCCGGCGGACATCGACAACGGGCGCGACGCGTCCAACGAGCCCGAGGCAAGGAGGTCTATGAGGCCCATGGTCCCGGGCACCGAGGTGAACCGCACGGCCCACCTGTTCGCGGGGCACCGCCGACCCCTCGACTTCGAGGACCACCTGACCAGGATGGCGCAGGAGCGGGACCGATGGCTAGTCGTGGAGTCGATCGACAAGGTGCTCCACAGCGACCACGACCTGCTCGACCGCAAGAAGGTGCAGGCCCTGTGCCGCCGCGCGCTGGAGGGCCAGTTCCAGACAGCCCACGCTGGCCCGCCGTGCGGGACCTTTGCCCGCGCTCGGCACAATCGGGCATGCCAGGGCCCCCCTCCCCTGAGGAGTCGGACGCGCCCCAGGGGTTTGGCAGGGCTTTCGACGACTCACCGGGCACAGGTGATGGTGGGCTGGGAGCTGTTCGTCGCGACGATCGAGTTCCTGGGCTGCGTAGTCATCGGCGGGGGCCTCTACTCCCTGGAGCACCCCGAGGACCCTGGGCAGGAGCCGTACCCGAGCATCTGGATCCTTGCGGTCACCATGGCTCTGGAGAACATGGCCTTCGCCCGCGGCTCCAACGGCTTCGAGGCTGCCAAGAGGGACTTCTGGGAGAAGATCAGGGAGGCCAGGGACCCCAACGTCAGCGACCGCGAGCTGCTGGGCGTGCCGGGCGAGGCTCAGCGGGCCTCGAGGGCGTCCTTCGACCAGTGTCGGGAGGGTCTGGCATCACGGAAGCCAACTACAGTGTCCAGCAGCATCCTGACGTTGGTCCGGGCGCTCGACGGCCGCAGGTGCGACCACGGCTGGCACCCGCCGCTGCAGGGGAAGCTTCCAGACGGCAGATTCCGGACCTCGCTCGCCCAGAACTACCCGAGCCAGCTGTCGGAGAAGCTGGCCTTTCACCATCTCGAGGCGCTCGACCTGGTCGTGCCCGGGTCACGGAAGCCGATGCAGTCCCTGAGCGACGAGGTGGCGGTCCGCCTGGCCGCCTTCGCTACGGCGGGGGACGACCTCGCCGCGCAGATTCGAGCGCCAGAGGTCGGGCCCAGCTGGGACCCGCTGGAGCGCTGGAGCGAGCTCCTGAGGGTCAGGTGGACGCGTTCGGAGCACCAGAATGTCCTCGAGCTGCGTGCTCTCATGCTCTACGTCCAGACCACCCTGAAGAAGAGATCGGCCTGGGACAGGCGCCTGCTCGTAATCACGGACTCGATGGTGGCGATCGGCGCGGTCTCAAAGGGCAGGAGCAGGTCCAAGTCTTTGAACACTCTCCTCCGCCGCCTCGCCGCCTACGCCCTCGGCTGCGGGTCAACGATCTACCCGAGGTGGGTGTCGAGCGGGCGGAACCACGCGGACGGGCCGAGCAGAGGCTACAGCAAGGGCCAGGCGCCGAAGGAGATCACAGAGCGCCTACGGCCACCTGTTCGTCATGGCGTGTTCGTGGACGGAGTGCGGGTGACGGCGCCTGTGATTGGGCAGACATGACAGGGCCTCGTGGACTACCGAGTGCTGCGACGAGGTCGGGACCCATGCTGGGGCTGATGATGGCGATCCTGCTGTTTCAGGTGGAGGGCGTCAGATCCACTGCCAGGCGGGCCTCGCCAGCTGCGGCGCTCCCGAAGATACAGCGCCGTGGCCTGCGCGCCTGGCAGACCTCGGGCACCGACTTCTTCGAGGGCCACAAGAGCGACCTGCTGAGCGGCGGCTGCCCCCCGAGGCTGCTGGTGCACGCGCAGATGGACGCGACGGCGCTCCAGTACATGAGGGCCTGCAGGAAGTTCTGCGACTGGGCAGAGGAGCAGGAGGTCGAGATCTACCCGAGCTGCCGCCTGGATAAGGCGATCAGTGTCTACCTGGACGTCTTGTGCTTCGACGACGAGATCGGCGTCGGTGAGGGCAAGAGCTTGACCTCGGGCATGCTGGCCATGTACCCAGGGCTTCGCCTTCCGGAGGCCTACCGCGCCCTGAAGGCCTGGGAGGGTCTCCGCCCCACGGTGCAAGGCTCGCCCATCGGCGTCCCGCTGCTGATGGAGATCGTGGACCGGATGTCTCACTACGGCGAGGACGGCCGCACAGCAGCGGACGCTGCTCTGCTCGCCTTCGACTGCTACCTCAGGGAGCAGGACTGGGAGCTGATGAGGGTTTCGGACGTCGTCTCGGCCGACGGCGTGACCGCGATCCGGCTGGGCGTCCAGGAGCGCGGCGAGCGGGTCAAGACGGGGCAAGAGCAGGGCGTTTTGATTGACTACCCCGGGACCCAGAGGATGCTTCTCGACCGCATCCAGGGCAAGAAAAAGGACGATCGCATTTTCCCCATCAGCCAGGTCAGGTTCCGAAACATGTGGTACCGAGCGTGTGCGGAACTCGGCGTTGCAGAGATCGTGGGCCGACCTCACAACATTCGACACACGGGGCCCTCCTTCGACGTTTGGATCGGTTATCGCACTTTGAAAGAAGTCCAAAAGAGAGGCCGTTGGAGAGTAGATTCAAGTGTTCAGAGATATTCCAAGACCCACGAGTACGCCACAGCCCTCGCGAGAACCCCTGAGAACCTGAAGGAGCTAGGTAGCCAGAAGTACCATGACCTCGGTGAGCGGCCCAAGAGGCCGCGGTCCTGAGCTGAAAGCTGTGAGTGCTTGGGTTTCTGTTCTAGTCCGGAGGCGGGCCTCGCTTTTCCCCTCTCCGCCCTCCCTTTCTCGCTCCGCCCGCCTCAAGTGTCCTGAAGGACCCCTTACAGGATTCCGGGAGTGGCCGTGCATGACTGTCCAGATTCGCGCTCCTGGAGCGCGAGTGCGAGGCCTGTCAATAACTACAGCCACTGCGAGGTTGCTCGCATTTCTCGTGAAATAGTATCTTGTGCGGCAGGAGTCCGAGGGAAAAACATGTGCGATAGAACTCTCACTTGTCTATTGTCACGGAGTCTGCGCTCCCCTCCGGCGTCCCTTTAAAGCTAGATCCCTTTAGAAAATGAGTGTTGTCTCAACGGGGTTTTTCGGGGGAGGAGCTTAGCAGGGACAGAGGGTTGCTCATAGTCTTCCCTCCCGTACCCACCCTGTGCTCCCCCCCTCCCGTGGCCGTGCATGACTGTCCAGATTCGCGCTCCTGGAGCGCGAGTGCGAGGCCTGTCAATAACTACAGCCACTGCGAGGTTGCTCGCATTTCTCGTGAAATAGTATCTTGTGCGGCAGGAGTCCGAGGGAAAAACATGTGCGATAGAACTCTCACTTGTCTATTGTCACGGAGTCTGCGCTCCCCTCCGGCGTCCCTTTAAAGCTAGATCCCTTTAGAAAACCATTGTTGTAGCTGTTGGGAATCAGTAGTTGGAAGCATTAAGTGACAAACGTGCGCAACGCTGAGGCCACAGCCGCATTTTGAAAACCACCAGCCCTCCATCCTCGAAACTGTTGGAATCCGTTTAAAACTATGCGCGCGGCGTAAAAACGAGAACCACAGTTCGGAAGCCACCGGCCCTGCATCCTTGTAATTGGTTTACCTGATTTTTGCTTCAGGAAGCTACAATGCAAACTCATCTCAAGCGACACGTCTGATGCAGCCTACGACCAGGTCTGGTGGTGCGACAGAAGGGGGAGTACATATTGAAGAGAGATGGATGAGCCTTCGCACCCTAACCATGCCAACCCCGCGACCACGTCTTCGCAAGCTTCGAACTCGGGTCTCAGGAACACCTCCACGGGTAGTGGTGGGGGGACAAGGACAACATGAGAAGGAGAAGCAGGAGGGCGAGCAAAAGCAGGTGAAGCAGGATGTAGGAGCAGGAGGAAGAAAGGGAGGGAGCTGGGCGGAGAAGGGGGAGGAATAGGACGGGGCGTCGGCAATATGCCTTCCTGTAGCTTGCCTGTGGCAGCGATGAAACTCGAATCGAAGCATGGAAGGCAGGAGGTGGAGCTTCACCCCTGTCGAGGGTAGGGAAGACGGGGAAGGGGGGTGGGATGCTGGACCCTGCATGTCCAACCTTCTGTCCGCAACGGGCACGCGCGTCAACAAGACGGCACTCTCAATGCTAAGCTGTCGTCGGGCTGAGGCGAAGCACGGAACATGCTCCAGTCGTGCAACAGGGAGACATCCGGACCTCAACCGAACAGAACAAAAAAAAGGCAACACGGGTATATGTCAGTCAGCGTGGACCCCAAACACCGAGTTATCGTACAGTGGGGGCTGAACAAATGTCATCCAAGCTATGCGGTGAAAGCTGTGTTGTGCCAGCGTTGCACTACGAGCTGTTGTGCGGACTATGCTAAATAAGCTACGAGGCGTAAAATACGGTGTGTAAGCAACGTGGTGTAAGTCAGATGGCCTGAGCAAGATTGAGTAAGAACTGCGGTGTAAGCTATCTGGTGCAAGCTGTGTGGTGTGAGCCACGTCGTGAAAGCCATGCTCTGCAAAGTGTTTGGAGTCCACTTTTGGTGACAACTAAGCAGAACAAACTACACACAGGGCCGAAACGGAAGACAATTGCCAGAACCCCATACAACATACATGATCCTGACAGAATGTATAACGTGTCGCTGCCTAGCCAGAAACCAAGACAATATTGTCGCCTGCGTCACTGCACCTTGTGCAAACTCGACGCAGTGCGACGACAACGGTGACACCTGCGCGCGGCCTGCGAATTGCCTGGAAGCTATCCGGTGAAAGCTATACAGTGCAAGCTCAGAGCATGGGGCGCCCACGAAGCGGCACGGGCGGCAACGTAGCGCAACCCCGGGAAACACACCCAACGCACGGAGCGCCCACGAGGCGCGCACGAGGCGGCCTCGTGGCGCAGCCTCGGCATACATCGCTAGCGCATGGGGCGCCCACGAGGCGGCACGGGCGGCAACGTGGCGCAATCTCGGCATATCCCCAAACGAAAAGCGCGCTCACGAAGCGGCACGGGCGGCACGGAAGGCGGCGCTCACGATGCGGCAAATCCCCCAAGGGCGGACCACGCGCAACCAACTACGTACGTTAAACACAAGAGCCCCTAAGTGCAAGCACTGCGCTGGGAATATATGTCTGCACATACGTGCATGTGTACATGTATACGCGTATATGTATAGATGTGTATATATATATACACGCACGCCAAATATTTGCAGGCTCGCTTCGCTTTGTTTCAACTGTTTGGTTTATGTCTGTGTACCTTGGGGGACTTGTGGAAAGATTAAAGGTGGGACGCTGTCAAACGCAGGGGGGGGGAGGAAGAAGGGCAGGAACACAAACAGGAAATCCGCCGACCCCTTGGGGTTCATCGGCGTGTGAGATGTTCCCCCTCCCCAAACCCCTCCCCCGGGAGCCCGGTCCGGTTCATTTGGAGGGGGGGGGGGGGTCCGGCCGGACGGGCCGGAACCGGGCCGGAACCCCCCGGAGGTCTCACCCGCTCCCGAAAAACGTGGAAGAACACGTGAAATTCGTGTAGAGACGCGTCTGGTGGCCTCGACATGGGTTTGGGACGCCCCACGAGCGCTCCAAGACGTCCAAGTTTGCCCGAAGACGGGCCACGAGGCGTCCTCGACGGCAAAACGGGTCCCCACGAGCTCCCCCGAGGGCCTCCGAGATGCGTTCCACAAGGGTCCCTCGACGCCAAAATTGGGCCATTCCCTTCGTGAAATGTACATTTTCAAAACACTCAGCTGTGGATCTTTCCGATGCTCCCCGACGGCCCAAGAGGCTCCCAAACCCGCCCCCAGACGGCCCCAGAAGCCTCGCAGAGGGCCCCCCACAGACCCCGAGAGGGCCCAAGATGGGCCAACAGGCGTCCAAGACGGCCCAAGAGGGCTCCGAAAACGGCCCCAAGAGCGTTCCAGGAGCGCTCCGAGTTGCCTCCCCGAAGCTCCACATGGTCCCAGACGGTCCCAGAGCGATCAGAAACATCGACGACGACCTCCCGACGGCTCACGAGGCCTCCCCAGACGCCCCCACAGGCATCCAAGATTCCCCCCAAGAGGCCCTCTAGACGCAAAGAATCGCTCGTTTCCTTTGTAAAACGTATATTTTTCCCCACGTGCGCCTTTGGGGGTGACCCCCGCTCCTGCACGGCCCCAGAGCCCCCCAAACCCGCTCCCAGACGGTCCAAGACGCCTCCAAGAGGGTCCGTACATAGCCCTCGAGGGCCCCAAGACGGGCCAACTAACGTCCAAGACGGCCCAGAAGGGCTCCGACAACGGCCCCGAGAGCGCTCCAGGAGCGACCCGAGTGGCCTCGAAGAGAGCTCCACATGGTCCTCGACCGTCCAAGCGCGATCAAAAACGCTGACGACGGCCTCCAAACGGCTGAAGAGGTCCCCCAAGACGCCCCAAGAGGCATCCACGATGCGATCCAAGAGGGCCTCTAGACGCAAAAAATCATTCGTTTCCTTCGTCAAACGTATATTCTTTCACACGTGCGCCTTTGGGGGTGTCCCCCGCTCCTGGACGGCCCCAGAGCCACCCAAACCCGCCCCCAGAAGGCCCAAGACGCCCCCAAGAGGGTCCCCACAGAGCCCTCCAGGGCCCCAAGACGCGCCAACACACGTCCGAGACGGCCCAAAAGGGCCCGAAAACGGCTCCGAGAGCGCTCCAGGAGCGGTCCGAGCGGCCTCGACGAGAGCTCCACATGGTCCTCGACGGTCCAAGAGCGATCCAAAACGCTGACGACGGCCTCCCGACGGCTGCAGAGGCCCCCCAAGACGCCCCACGAGGCTTTCACTATGCGCCCCTGGAGGGCCTCTCGCTGTATAAAATCGCCCGTTCTCTTCGTAAAACGTGTATTTTTCCCACGTGCGCCTTCTGGGGCGCTCCGGGGCGGCCCGAGAGCCTCCCAAGACCGCACCAAGACGGTCCAAGAAGCCTCCACGAGGGCCCCGCGACGGGCCAAGAGGGCGCCAAGACGGGCCCAGAGAGGCCGAGGACGGCCCAAGAGAGCTCCGAAGACGACGCGCGCGCGACTCGCGGTTAGATTCCTCGCAACTTGCGTTGCTTCCCGCCGTGCTCGTCACTTGCCTCCGCAGGGCGTTTCGGCGGGTCTTTCCGCGGCGCCCGCCCCGCCATATAGCACTTGGCGCAAACCACCAGAGTGCCTCGGTGGAAATAATTCTTCTTCTGGGCTATCGACAGATGGCCGCCGTCAGTGAACGTAGGCTTTGATCCGTCCTTCTTCAGGGGACATGCGGAATATTCCAACTTCTTCGCCACCTGCCTCAGGCCCCGAAGAGCTCCCAAGAAACCCAACAAGACCCCGAAAACGACCGCCAAACGGTTTCGAACCATCTGATCATTGACTTCAATTAAGGGGTCGGCGGATGTGGCGCAAGCCTGAAGAATAACAAGAGGAAAGAAAGACTGTGGCTGACTCGCCCAGAAGAGGACAGCAAGCCCTGTGGAAAGAGCAGATCCGTTGAGTGCGCATAATGGGTAAGTGTAAAAAAAGAAGAAGGGAGGGCGCCGTCGATACAAGAAGCTGGGCGGCCCGAAATCGACGTTAGGACGGACTTCGACGCAAATGACCCGGAGCAACCAACTCTCGAAGAGTTTGCGAGGGTGACCGGAGCGGGAAGGTCATGACCGCAAGGGAGGTGAAGGTCATGGCTCTCGAAAAGGGTCAACCATGACCATGATGGAGGTTACGGGCATGGCCGTGGAACGGGTTCAAATAACGACCGCGAAGTTCTTGTGCGCTGCATTCACCGCGCCACTTTGCCAAGAAACAATGATAGAATCACGACCGCGAAGGGGCTGACAGTACTACGAGGAGGGGGGGTCACGGTGATGATCATGTCAGGTAGGGCAAGGATGGTAACCATCAGAGGGGCTTCCCAAGATAATGAAGGGTTCCAGGCATGAACCGAGAGTGGGGTCAACGTGACAAACGCGAGGGGGGTCAAGGTCACGTTGGGCTAGCTTCCCACAGGTTGCTGAACAAATATTTCGCCCCTCGGCGATACGCAGCTGCCGGTGAGATGCCCTTGGCCCCTCGGCGAGACGCAGCTGCCGGAGTGGTCGTCGGGCCAAAACTCAGGCCATAGGCAGTCGTTCGTGACGATCCACGCACCGTCGTCGAGGCGCAATTGCTGGAAATCGCCAAGCGAGAGAACGTCCGAGAATCAGCGAAAACTTGCATGAGCCAAAAACGACGATGCCGCTTCAGGCACTCGCCCGACACGGTTCAGGGCACCGCTCTTGGGGGCGTGGGTATTCACATTTGCTTCACGGGTGAGAACTTCTTGCGTCACCACTCGCTCTTGGGAGCCTTGGCGATCGAAGATTTTTACGTTAGCGGCTCGCCTCAAAAAGTCCTGTTCCGTTCCCTAGAGCTCTTGGGAATCTTTGGGGTCAAATCTGTGTCCGTCACTGCTTCGTCTGGGGACCTGATCCTTGGCGTCAAAACTGTGTCCGTCACTGGGCCGTCTTGGAGCCCTGGGGAGCCTACTGAGAAACTATTCCAAATATTTTCGATGCCTCTTTCTTTATTTTTTGTCACCCGCACCCCTATACAACAATTCGCGCCGATGTGGAGATGCGGGCGAACGCTGTTAATCAAAATGTGCGTCGAACAAACTCCGTGGTGGCTCCATCCGGCCCGTGCCACAGCTCCTTGCATCTGCCAACCCCAACCTGGACCAACTCTCTCTCACTCTCTCCGTCTCGTACCGTGGCCAGTGGTGGCACTGGCACTCTGCAGACCGCACTCAAAGGTCGTCCTCGCAATG